GGAGATGCAGGGGCGGGGCCGTCAGGTGCAGCGGCGGGTCGACCGGTGCAGCGGCGGGCCGGCAGGTGCAGCGGCGGGGCCGTAGGGTGCAGCGGCGGGCCGACCAGGTGGGGCGGCGGGCCGTAGGGTGCAGCGGCGGGCCGTAGGGTGCAGCGGCGGGCCGGCAGGTGCAGCGGCGGGGCCGTCAGGTGAAGCGGCGGGCCGCTGGGTGCAGCGGCGGGCCGGCAGGTGCAGCGGCGGGGCCGTCAGGTGAGGCGGCGGGCCGTAGGGTGCAGCGGCGGAGCCGGCGGTGGGGCCGCGTCAGTGGAGGCGGCGGGGCCGCGTCAAGCAGGCGGCGGGGCCGCGACAAAGCGGGCGGCAGGGCCGCGTCAGAGCCGGCGGCAGGGCCGCGTCAGTGGAGGCGGCGGGGCCGCGTCAAGCAGGCGGCGGGGCCGCGACGAAGAGGGCGGCAGGGCCGCGTCAGAGCCGGCGGCGGGGCCGCGCCAAGCAGGCAGCGGGGCCGCGATCAGGAGGGGTGGCGGGGCCGCGTCTGAGGGACAGCGGGGCCGCGAGGGAAATGGCGACCCGAGGGGTCGCTAAAAAAAAGGCGCGCCTCGGGGCGCGCTTCGGTGGGCCCTAAAAAAACGGTCCTAAGGAAGGACCCGCTCTATACCATGTGAAACAAGTGAACAGGAATGCGAAATGACTAAGTCAGAGTTGGGTACAAAATGCAACCCTAGAAAGCTGTACCCCATATGTGCTACCCCACTATAGCCTACAAACATGCATCAGCTATAATACTCTGACACCGGTTTCTTCCGATGCGTTGTCGACGTTCTGTTCATCCCAGTCTGCTTCGTCCGCTGCTGAGGCGAAGGCTCGGTCACCACGAAAACCACCTGTGGGGTCCTGATTCTCGTGCAAGTTGGCGAGGTACGTTTGAAGGGTGAGTCGCTCGTAGAAGATCACATCACGTGTTGCTACTGTTTCCTTTGAGTGGACATCGAAAATTTTCCACGCGTTGTAATTTTTCTCGATGCCGAGGTGTAGTCCCCACTGTGCGCGTTGTGAAAATCTTCCCGCTCGTGCTTCTGGGGGTCGGTACTACACCATGCATCCGAAAACTCGTAACATTCTTGTGCTGCCCTGCTTTCCTGTCCACAGCAGATGCGGTGATGCGTTGTTCGGGAGTGACGACGACGACAGCAAGTTCTGCAGTATGACAGCATGGTCCATTGCTGCAGGCCATTGGTGGTTGGGTAGCCGCATGCCACGTAGCAGTTTGCGCATGCTGTTCTGCAGAGTCCTGTTCATTCTTTCTGCAACACCTTGCTGCTGATGGGCGTAGGGAAGGGAGAGGAGTTGCTTGATTCCCCTTTCCGTCAGGTACTGCTTGAAGCGCTGAGAGGTGTATTCTCCTCCTCCGTCTGACTGGAAGCTTTTCAGCTGTGTTCCTGACTCCCTCTCTGCTACCGGTAGCCAAGCGGCGAACGCTGCGAGTGCCATGTCGCGGTTGGGTAGGTTTCGATGCCAGACGTATCGAGTGGCGGCGTCGATGAAGGTTATCGTGTAATTGTAGGTGACTTGTCCTGGTTCTCGATTGAAGAGGATGTCGCTGTATACTTTCTCGAGTGGTGCGTATGCAGGTGCGCTCGGGTTGTGGTGAGAAGAAAACGGTCGATGGGGTAAGTCGGCTTCGGGGCAGATGAGGCAAGTTCCTCGTGCCCGTTGAAGTTCTCTGCCGTCGGGTAGTAGTAGCGAATCTTTGTCGAGGACTCCTGCTCGTATTGTGTTATTTAATACTGTGTTGCTTGGATGTCCTGTGCGTGCGTGCCAGATGTCTTCAGGAGCGCGATGTCCGGGTGAGCGTTGATACGCGTCGGAGTTGGAGTAGAAGCTGGCAACAACATTGGCGCTTCTGTGGACTTCTCGTTGAGTCGGGTTCAGTTGTTGTGCGGGTGTTGGTGGTGCTTCGTGGACGATGACTGGTGTCGTTGGTCCTGCTGCTGCCGATGATGTTTCTGCTGCTGTCGATGTTGTCTCTGCTGCTGCCGATGTTGTCTCTGCTGCTGCCGATGTTGTCTCTGCTGCTGCCGATGTTGTCTCTGCTGCTGCCGATGTTGTCTCTGCTACTGCCGTTTGTTGAATTGTTGCTAACGCTCGTGTTCGTTCTGCTTCAAGGATGGTGTGCGAGTACCAGAAACCTCCCGGGCTGAAGTCGGGACCGAGATCCGGGGGATGTGTCCAATCGGCGAAGTTGACGATGGCGTCGCTATCTGCAGTGCCAAGGTCGGGGATGAAATCGAGGATGAAGACGTTGTTCTTCAAAACTGCTCTTCCGATGTAGAGGCCGCCCTTCCCGTGGTACAGTTTAAACTCCTAGGTGGTACTGTCGGCTTCCAAGTGGATGCCTTTCGCCATCAGCTGGCTGACACTCAGTAAGTTATAACCGAGTCCTTCTACGATGAGTACCTTTGACATGTGCAGTATAACGTTGGTCTCTCTTGATTGAAGCTGAACGACTCCTTGTCGTCTTGTGCGCAGGTTCTGGTTATTGGCGACCGTGATGACTACTTCTCGCTGGAGTCGATGTTCGCGTTGAACAAAGCGTTCCAAGGAGCACATATGTTGTCCGCAGCAACTGTCCGAGAACCAGGTGTCTTGCCCGGACGGTTCGCTTTGAGCGATGGCGGCGTACGTCGGATTCGGTTGGAGTGACTCGCGGCGAGGCGTCCTGTTGTCGAGCTCTTCTTTCGGTGAGTAGTGAGGTGGTGATTTGGTTGTGCACGAATCAGTTATCTTCACCATGCAATTGACAATGTTTCTTGCTCCTTGTGCAGATTGTTTTGTTGGAGTCGTTGAAGCTTGGATTGAGGTCGTCGGATTTGCTTGTGTTGAGGCAACTTGGGAGCTTGAAGGCCGGAGTTGTCGCCGTGGTGTTGTCTGACGAGACGGGCAGTGCGTGCGAGGGTGTCCCGAAGTCTTGCAGATGTGGCAAAACGGAGGTACCGTCTTCACTTGTTGCTGTTGTCGATTGTTGTTGTTGTTGTATCGTCGCTGAGTGTGAAACGCAAACTCCGGTGCTAATGTTTTCTTCTTGGGTCTTTCTTCTTGCAGGTCCATGTCCTGCTGCTCGGCATGAATTTCGGCGCAGAGTGCCGCTTCGGAAATCCTCCCGTGTGCTCGTAATATGGCGCGAGTGGAGCGCCAGTGGGGGCCGAGACCGCCGATGACCACCGTGACAAAGGCGTCTTCTGAAATCGACCCTCCGCATCGAAGAAGCTTGTCGCGCAGTTCGCGGCAGCGGCTGATATAAGCCATGCCTTTCTCGCCTGGTTTCATTTCAATTGTTGTCAACTGCGCCATTAACCTGCTTTGATTTACGCTGTTTGTTGCTTGATACAGGTTCTTCAGGTGGTTGTACGCGAGCTCCGCGGAGTTGCCGTAGCCTCGGTAAGTCCTGATGTTCTGCTGCTGGGTCGGGGTGATGTTTCTTAGCAGTATCGTGTACGCCATCATTGATTGATAGGTGTACTGCTGCTTCTCATATTGTGTCCCGTTTGTTGGATATGGCAGGGACCCGTCGAAGAAGCCGAGAATCTGTGCTCCTTCCATCATCAGTTCGAACTCGAACGACCAGGTGAAGAAGTCTTTTCCGTCGAAAGGCTTTGTCGTTTGCAGCTTGAGAACATGCGCGAATTGCGATTGAACTTGTAATGCGTCCAATGCCCTTTCTTGTCCCGGTGCAGATTGCGGTTGCGGCATGAAGCTGACGGAGCCACGCTGGGGCTCGTACGGCGCAAAGGTAGGCTGCTGTTGTTGTTGTTGAATTCCGCGTGCATAGGATTAGCCGTCGAGACTCATAGGAGTTACGTTGTTGTTGTTGCTGTTGTTTGACTGCGCAGGTACTCCTTGCTGGTGCTGCTCGTAGAAGGACATGAAGGAGAAGAATTTCTCCATCATGCTTGGATCGAAGCCTGCGGGCGTTTCCGTAGACCCAGCTGCTGGTCTCGTGGTAGTCCCTTCTTCCGTCTGTAGACCAGAGACAGGAGGTGGAGTAGGGGTAGTGCCTGGAGAACCGTTGGAGGAGCTCCTCTCCTTCCTAGTAGACATGTCTTCCTTGTATTAAGTATTAAGAGAAAAAGTAACTTTGAACTCTATCTGCTCTCATACCATGTTGGGCTGAGATGCCCTAGGATCTTTGTAGAGTTAAAGTCTGAGTAGGATTGTAATAGCGGAAGCGTTTGAATGAAAAGTCCTTGAACCACCTTGCGCTTGTATGTGAGGGCAAAGTAAGTTGATTAAAACAAGCAAATACAAGGCTTTATATAGGAGTACAAGGAATACGAATAGATATAATTAAACTGTTTTGCTGTTGCGATTGGATACAGTGCGACTCGGGCAACTGCTCAATGTCGAGTCAGTTGTGTGTCCTTGTTGTCGCGCTGTATTTGTCAAGTCAAAGGTCGCTGACTTTTGACCTTCGCATAACCTCCAGGCGGTTACCCTAACCTCCGAGGGTTGACTCGCGATGCTTCGATTTGGACTGCTTCGCTTGTGTCCTGAGTTTCGACACGACAGAGGTGCTTTAAGACTTATTGTTCCCAACACATTAGACCTCATGTGGTTATTGAAATGATTTGGAAGGAAAAATGTACAAAATCCTTGATGCGGTATGTCAGCAGCACAATCGCACGATCGGTTGCTCTTGCACATAACAGTGCCAGCATGATTCCATTCCATCCCACCCGACCATGCCCTCGTTTTCACCAGATTCTCCCACTGCCGCCACACCTCCCTGTACAACCATCACAACTTATCACCCCAGGTGCCAACACCACCATGACCCTCCCCTCTTTCCCTCCCCTCCACCGTACCCTCTCCTACCCTCTCCCTCTCTTCCCTCTCCCTCCTCTTCCCTCTCCTCTTCCCTCTCTCCCCTTTCTCCCTCTCCTTCCTCTTCCCTCTCCACCCTTTCTCCCTCTCCTTCCTCTTCCCTCTTCCACATGCAAGCCAGCAGCCTATCGGTAGAACTCGAAGTCAGTATCAGATTTCTTGACGTGCGAGCGGTAACCCTTGTCAAAGTCCTTGGGCAGAATCACGTACCGATTCTTGCGCACCGCGTGCATGCCTGCCTCCTGGCAGATGGCCGAGATCTGCGAGGAAAAAGGATGAACGGGAGGATCAAGAGGAGGAATGAGGGGGAATCATGAGGAGGAATGAGGGGGAATCATGAGGAGGAATGAGGGGGAATCAAGAGCACGAATGAGGGGGGAAAAAGGCAGGAGAGAGAGGGGAAAGGCAGGAGAGTTGGACGGGGGTGTGGGGATGTGGTGAAGAAACTAGAACACGAGGCACCACTAGAAGACTCAACCTTACCACAGAGTGTGACATAGTATTAAGTACATAAGTGTAGATAACTTGATACAAAGCAGCAAACACAAAAAACTGGTCTTCGCATGCGCCAGCAGTGATTGCTCGCAGCAGCAGCAGCAGCAGCAGCAGCAGCAGCAGCAGCAGCAGCAGCAGCAGTAGCAGCAGTGGCCGCGATCAAGTGCTTACATCAGCAGCAGAGATCTTATCCGGGCGGGAAACATAGTCCTCCAGCTCCACCTCCTCGCTGAGATTCATCTTGGCCGTGCACACCTGCGCGGGGGAAGAGAGGGAGGGCGAGTGGGAATGTGTGTGAGAGACGGAGGGGAAGGTGTGGGAGAGAGTAGGCGGGGGGAGGGGGGGTGGTCGAGCAGGAAGAGACTGGAGACCTCTAGAAATGCACCTCCTTGCTCGGATTCATCTTTGCTGCACGTGGATAGAGGAGGGCGTGGTGGTGGATAGAGAAGGGCGTGGCGTGAGCGCGAGTGGGAGTTGAGAGAGAGAATGGGAGAGTGAGAGAGAGAGAGGAGAGGGGAGAGGAGAGAGAGAGAGAGAGGAGAGGGGAGAGGAGAGAGAGAGAGAGAGAGAGAGAGAGAGAGAGAGAGAGAGAGAGAGAGAGAGAGAGAGAGAGAGAGAGAGAGAGAGAGAGAGAAATACAGAAAGAGTAAACGAGTGAAAGACGGAAGCGGGAGAAAGATGGAACGAAAGAGATGATAACACCCAGGGAAACTCTAACGCACACACCACCACATCACACACACACTATCTCTCCCACTCACCCACTCACCCACTCACACACTCGCCCCTCGCCCCTCGCCCCTCACCTGGAACACAAGGCGCTTCTGTCGCCGGTCAGGCAGAGGGAACTCGATCTTCCTGTCCAGGCGGCCAGGCCGGAGCAGAGCAGGGTCGAGCGTGTCGGCGCGGTTGGTGGCCATGATCACCTTCACGTTCACCGTCTGATCAAACCCGTCCATCTGCGGAGAAGAGGGGCGAGGGGGAGCGGGGGAGGCGGGGAAGGGGGAGGAGAGGGAAGACGGAAGAGCGAAGAGAGAGGAGAGAAGAGAGAAGAGAGGAGATGGGCATTGATGACCTTCGCGTTCACCGTCTGGTCAAAGCCGTCCATCTGAGGTAAGAGGAAGGAGGGGGGTCGGGAAAGGCGACGAGGAGGATGAGGAGTGAGATGCGTGTCGGCACCGTTGGTGGCCATGATCACCTTAACGTTCACCGTCTGTCAAACCCGTCCATCTGAGAAGCGAGGGAGGAGAGCAAGAGGGGGGAGGGGGCGGGGGGGGGAGGAGAGGAAGAGAGAAGAGATGGGCACTGCACGGTTGATAGCGTGTCACCCCTGTTGGTAGCCATGATCACCTTCACGTTCACCGTCTGATTAAAGCCAACCATCTGCGGTAGAGAGAGGGCGAAGGAGGCGGCAGGACGGGCAGGGGCAGGGGCGGAGAGAGCAGGGGTGTCAGCACATTCTGCTCATACACGCAGGCACGCACGCACGAGTATAGGCAGATAGTGCCCTGCTCATTCTGCCCCTCCAGTCCAGCAACTACCCAACGAACTGTCCGAACCCGTCAGACCTCCCCTCATACACCATTCCTCATTGCACTCCCCCCCCCCCCACTCCTGATTCAGCAGCTCCATGAGGATGCGCTGCACCTCACGGTCCGCAGCAGTCTGCCCAACCCTCTGTCCTACCCTCCACCCCCCGCTCCCTGCTCCCCCATTATCCCCCTACTCCCCACCTTTCACCCCTTCCTCCGCACCTGGTTCAGCAGCTCCATGAGAATGCGCTGCACCTCGCGGTCCGCGCCGGTCTGCGTGTCAAAGCGCGCCGTGGCGATGGCGTCGATCTCGTCTATAAAGATGATGGCGGGCGCCACGCAACCCTCTGCACCACTCTTCACCACTCTTCACCCACCCCCCTCCCCCTCAAGCAAGCTCACCTGGTTGAGCAGCTCCATGAGAATACGCTGCACCTCGCGGTCCGCGCCGGTCTGCGCGTCAAAGCGTGCCGTGGCGATGGCGTCAATCTCGTCTATGAAGATGATGGCGGGCGCGTTCTCCTTGGCCAGGCGGAACACGTCGCGCACCATGCGCGGACCCTGCGGATGGGGGAAGGCGGGAGGCGGGAGGCGGGGGGTGGGGAGAAGGGGGTTCGGGGCCCGGACGGGGAGAAAGAGGACACGGGGGCGAGGGAGAATACGGGGGGGAAGAGCGGAGGGGGGAGGGGGGTGGAGGGAGGACGTGAGCGAGTGGGGGGGAGGGAGATAGGAGTGTGAGTGGCAACTCTCGTCTATGAAGATGATGGCGGGCGCGTTCTTCTTCGCCAGGCGGAACACATCGCGCACCATGCGCGGACCCTGGGGGCGAGATGGAAAAAGGTGGTGCGGAGGGGGAGAAAGAGAAAGCAGGGACGGGGGGGGAAGGAAGGTGGAGACAGGGAGGGGAAGGGGGGAACGGGGAGGGTGGGGAGAGGAGGGGAGCGAGTGGGGGTGGGGGAGACTGGAGTGTGAGAAGCGGCTGTTGTGCTGAAGATGATGGCGGGCGCGTTCTCCTTCGCCAGGCGGAACCCATCGCGCACCATGCGCGGACCCTGCACGGAGGGGGGCGGGAAGGGAGAAAAAGAGGAAGTCGGAGGGGGAAGGAGGAAAAGAAGGTGGGTGACGGAGGGAGAACGAAGGTGAAAAGGAGGAGCGGGAAAGGGGGGAGGGAGCAGTAAGGAAGAGGAAACGGAGGAGGGGGGAGGGGGGATGGTGAGGAGGTTGCTGATGCGAGGAGAGGGGAAGAGACGGGAGACAAAGCGGGGGGGGGGGGGGGGGGGGGGGAGAAGTAAGGGGGAAAACAGAGAAGGGGAGGGGGGGTGGGAGAATCGGGGGAATGAAACGAAGGGGAGAAGGAAGGAAGGAAGCGGAGAGGGAAGGGAGAAAGCTGAGAGGGGGAGGAAAGGTGGTGCGACTATTGATTAAGCACACAAGCCATAAATGCTAGAACCACTCACCGACCAACCCACGCAAACGAGCACGGACGGAATTACACAGCCCAACACACACATCTCCTGCATCCCGCAGAGACCAAGCTCACACACACACCTCTCCTTCCTCACACACCACCCACGCACCTCCCCGAGCCTGCACAAACCCACCCCATCCATCCAGCCTCGCCAACGCAACCCCCTCCCCCCCTCCCCCCCCCCCCCCCCCCCCCCCCCCCCACTAAAACAATTCACTCGTCTTCCCTTGTACTTTTGCACGAACAATCAACGCACAATCCACACCCCCCCCCCAACCCGCCCCCCTCCGACAGCCCACGCACCTCGCCCAGGTACTTCTGCACAAACTACGACCCCACCACGCGGATGAAGTGAACGCTGCCGTGGTGTGGTGCGCCACGGCCTTGGCCAGCCCCCCCCTGACCCCCTGCCCCCCTTGCCCCTACCCCTCCCCCCCGCAACCCACGCACCTCTCCCAGGTACTTCTGAACAAACTCCGACCCCACGACGCGGATGAACGCCGCCGTGGTGTGGTGCGCCACGGCCTTGGCCAGCATCGTCTTGCCCGTGCCGGGCGGGCCGTACAGCAGCACGCCACGTGGCGGGTCGATGCCGATCTGCTGGTACAGCTCGAAGTGCGTCAGCGGCAGCTCCACCGCCTCGCGGATCTCCTGCTTCTGAATGTCGCACCCGCCGATGTCCTGCGCGGAAGGGGGGGAGGGGAGGGCGGGGGGGGGGGGGAGGAAGAGTGGAGAAGGGGGACGGAGAGTAGAAGAGGGAGAGGTGAGGTGACGAATCAGCGGCAGCTCCACCGCCTCGCGAATCTCCTGCTTCTGAACGTCGCACCCGCCGATGTCCTGCGCGGAGGGGAGGAGGGGAAGGGAGGTTGCAGAAAGGGAGGAGGGGGAGTAGGACATGGGGAAGTGACCGGAAGCTTTACTGCCTCGCGAATCTCCTAATTCTGAAATACGCCTTAACCTCGATTTCTAGAAAGTAAAGGGCCTTAACCTTAACCCACACCCCGCCCCGAGAGCGCATCGACACCTACCCCTTCAACAATAATGAAAATTGTGCATCGTGCATTGAGAATCACAAATCATTGAATTCTTTCATCCTCGCATCGGCACTTCCGCCACCTTCCCATCTCATCCCCCCCCCCCCCCCCCCTTCCCCTTCCCCTCCCCCTCCCCCCCCCCCCCCCCCCCCCCCCCCTCCCCCCCTCCCCCTCTCCCCTCCCGCAGTACGCACGGTGTAAGTAACGTCGGGCTTCTCCGACTGGCTCAGCAGGGAGATGCTCGAGTCGGCCTCCGGCGGCAGCACGTCCACGAGCGCGTTCGAGTGCCGGTGAAGCGCGACGGACGACGACGGCCTTAGCAGCTCGCGATTGATCGTGCTCAGGATCCGGACGTAGTAATTCGACCCGGTCGTCGATCCGACGATCCCCGCGTTCGCGTCGACCATCTCGAGGAATTGACCAATCACGAGCGGGACGGATTGGATCCGCTTCACCTCCTCCTGCGCGCGCAGCAGCTCACGTTTAAGATTCTTCTGCTCGTCCTTGATATATTCCTCCTGGATTTCCACGAATTCCAGTTGGCGTTGGAGCGATTTGAGCCGCGCGTAAAGATCTTCGTGCAGGCCGGCCTCGTCAGCCTGGGACACGTCAGCATCGTGACGTGTATCGACGAGAGTGGTCGACTTAGGAGCGACCACGTCCATGGCTGTCGCAGTTGCTGCCGCGGACGCCATGATAAGGCGAGCCTGGAACGGCTGAGCTCGGACAGTAGAGGTAACTCCGATCTACGATAAGACGACTGAGGATCGAATTTAGAAACAAAATAAAAGGGACCCGACAGGAACTGAAGGAACAAACACGTCAGGAGAGAAATTCACCAGATCCACTATCCGAGAAAGACCAGCCGAGACCAGGAGGGTCTGACGTGAAGACCAGGGAGGACTGAGACCAGGTGAGCCAGACCTCGGGATTTGGGGCAATTCTATGGCAACAGGACGAGATCCGGCGAGTGAAGAATGGGTGCGGGAGAGGCTCTGCTGTATAGGTGTGAGCCTGTGAGGGAAATCGAGAACTACGTTACCGTTTGTCCGACGACAACTTCGAGAACGGGAACCCCTTGATCATACCACCGCAACGTGATGCAACGTACTCAACTGCTCGTTTACTTCCTGTTTGCTTACCTATTTGAATGTGTACTCCCGTTTTAACGGAATAAACACTTCCATTGCATCCTCAAAACAATTTGGGGAGTTTTGGGGTGTTCTAAGGGGGTGTCCAGTTCGTTCATTTACTGTTCGTAAAGCCCTTCAGTTACCACAATTTGCGTTGTAACACTGAGTTTTACAAAAATGCCAGACACGATCAGCTCCCGTTCACGATACGGCACACCCCCTGCACGTACCTCGAATCGTGTGACGCACGTTACAGGAATCAGCGTGCGCATCGAACAATGGTACAGAACCGCGTCCTGCCCACTACAGTGAGTGCCCATCGTATCGCGCGCTTGATTTCGCATGTGCCGCCTGACACTCGCCAAAACCTATAGTGGAAGTGTTGGCCTGGCGAAAATTCTTCGCTTTGGTTGACGAGGGAACTGGTTACCTTGGTTGCCACACGGCCCCTGCACTGTTGAAGTCTGTGTGGGGGGATGGTGTCCGCGCGCCAGAATGTCAGAAAGGGTGGACTCGAGCAAGGCACGTTCGTTTATAGGTACAGTGTTCAGTTTTGAACCCCGGATCGTGAGGAGGTACTAGATTTCCCGAAATGAACGAGCTGGACACACCCTAACCAGGGCTAAAACAGGCAGATGGTTAGCGTTCCGTGTTGTAGAAAACAAGATCAAACTACGGTAATGATTTCATTAGAATTGTTTTGCTGCATAGAATTCAATGCACTAAATTATACTTTTAGACATAATCTAGTATATATGCTAAAACATATCCCAAACCAATTATTATGAGCATCTTCAATGTCCCACTTACCGTACAGCCATAACTTGGTAGGCCACTTAGCATTTCGTGGCCTTTTACCATTTGTTCTGTATTCATTATGTGAAGCCATGTACTAAATGCACCACCAGACTCACGCCAAGTCATCCTCCAGACCAGACCGACATACGCGTTACCGAATCATACTATTCGATACAAACCGTAGCCCTACTCCGAGCCTGGACCGAACCGGCCGAGCGTTTCAACGCGCTCGCGACTCGATCCGCAAAACAAGAATTCCTGCTTGCCTTTTCAACGCGCACAGTTGATTGTTGCTGCTCACTTTGTTTTGGGACACCCTGTAAGACAAGAGCTCATTCTGGCTTCCACCCCAGTGTTTCAGATGCAGTAAAACAACAAATGCAGTGTAGGTTTAATTATTATTGTACGAGAATGGCACATCTACAACCACGGATGGTTCTGAAAGTATGGAACCTTGGTTGGTGAAGAGAGACAACAAGGGTTGGAGTGAATCGATACCTGCGATGGGAGTCCCTACCCGCTCACTTGTCGTGGATTAAGTGTATGCTTTTAAGTAGCACCTTCCTCTGAACTTGGGCTAGCCAGTTAATACTTTGGAGGTGACCTCCAACAGGGTGGGAATGCCGATTTAAGTAAACTGCAAGCCCAGAAGCCTTTTTGGCACTGGGGCCATGGAAAATCACTTAGAAAAAAATGTGACTGTGCGGTAAAAGAGGGTAAAACACCTTAATTCATAGGCTTAATGTAATGGAAGATATTTCGTGCAACCTTATCCAGAACGTTCGAGTTGCCTCGGCTGAATATCTTCCCCATAAAGCATTGCTCTTCAAGGCCTAATGAATCAGGTATTTTCCCGCCTCACTTACTCCAGCACACTCCGAATTCGGAGAGGCCCAGCAATTGGACGTACTTACCATACCTTAATTCAGTATGAGGATGAAGTGTACTCACATCCTCTGTACTTTCAGTCAGGACTACGGGCAGTTGTACTAGGTATCTTTCAGCGGCACAATTTTGTCTGCCCACCGACCGACAACACAAACCAAGAAACGCAACTGTTCATCCCACCACACAAATTCCCATGGGACCCCACCCCACCTCCTCCCCACCGGATTCCATCACTACACCTCACCCTCACACCTCGACGATTGGGAGTGGTTTGCTCTGCTGAGTATATAAACATTAGTGCATCACAGCTTTTAGCCAAACATTCCTGTCTTCCCTAATCTAGCTCGTTCTTGCTCTTCTCTTACATTTGCGGTAAGCGGGAACGCTCTCTGAGCCGCATCGTCGTCGCGAGAAAGAATGGCGCGCTTGGGGTATTGCGCTCTGAGGCCTCGCAGCTGGAGACTGGACTGCCTAGCAGCCGTTTCTTCTGCGTTGTTTCTCGTGGCAGCTCTTCCTGGCATCGAAAGTATAAATCTTGCGCAAAAGCTTAAGGCCCCGCCAGTCACCATCGACCAGATGATAACAGAGATCAAATACGCGGCTTCCATCATCAAGAAGAACGTAAACTACACCAAGATTGCCAGCTTCGCGAGCACCTTACGTAAGTTTCTCGTCAATCATCGAGTGACATGATGTCACTCAATGTTTTCACGCTGATGGTTTTTGCGAGTTTTCGCGAGACCGAAGGCCGGGGGATACATGCTGGGGAGGTATAATCGGGATGAACTCGGTGAGTGCCGCTCTTTGAGTTTGGGGGCTTCCCGTTTGGATATCCCCGTTCTTGATTTCTTGGGGAGCTTTGAAAGCGTCGAGAAGCACACGTGAGGGCGTCCGACGCCAGCGACAGTGCGTCTGCCAGCGGACCGCCTGGCAGAAAATCTCTGTGGCCCAGTGGTCGCCGGCGTGACGTAGTACAGGAGGACAACTCTCCATGCCTCTACTTGCAACTGCTGCGGAGTTTCGGAACAGTCCGCTTACAACAGATTTTTAACGTGACGTAAGTGCAAATATCGTTTACCTCCCCTTCGTTGTGTCTGCCTGCTCCTTTTCTCTCTTTCCCCCGTTACTGCTCCAGTACCCAAGGCCCCCAAGAAATACGACATTACTCAAATACACAACAGCACCATTCTCCTCGCCACATCGCAAAAAAGGAAAGCTGCGATTTTTGGCCCCCGAAGGTTTTTTCTGCGTTGGCCTTGCGAGAAAGTTGCGGAAAGCTGCATAAAAACACCGCACCCGAATCGCAACTTTTTGCACATCAGAAACGTACATCTTCGTCGTACACACAAAAGTGACTTGGCGGTAACTTTTCCACGAACATGTAGGATACTCGAAGCACACACCTACATCTCGAGTCGCATTCGCGGCTCCCATTTCATTCGAACCAAAATCCGCGACATAAGTATGCTGTACCTGGTGTTTCCGTCAAAATACAACATGTGTGTGCACTGTTAGGGTGCTCGTATCCACATTAGCCAAAACTACACCATCAACTCAAAATAAAATTGCACACACAATAACAACCACAACACCAACATAAACAATGCGTCCCCCCTACGTACGATACCGCACACAGTCAACTCTCACAACCAAACCCCACTACTGCTAGACGCATCACTGGTCGTCATCACTCTCCAGCACTTCATCACTCTGCAGCACTTCTTCGGCTGTCCCGTTCTCAGCTCGCTCCCCTACGCGAGCCCTCTTTACAGGCGTCCTGCATAGGCGGGAAATCACCTCCTGGTTCGATGCTCCGACCTCTGCTGGCACAGCCGCCGGGGGGATGCCGAGCTCATCGGCACGCTCCACGTACGCGTTTGTGACGTTGCGTATCACGCGCCTCCTGCTGCGCTCGTCCCGCAGCAATGGGCCGTCTGGCAGGCTCATGTCGCCCGACGAGTCATCGGACGCGCTGGCAGCAGGTGTGGCTCTGAACCCCTGTTCCACGCATAGTCCCGCGTCGCAGTTGATAAAATCCGCGGTCGTCATGTAGCACGCAGGCCTTACCTTGAACTTCTCGATAAGCAACTGAAAATCGACGCATACCGAAATAATAGGCTCGAACATGCCGGTTGCGCACGTGTCACCCAGGTACGCCATCAGGGGCGGCCAGCTTGCCGGCACGCATCCTGCGCGCCACCAGCTCCGCTGCATGGTAGCCGCGCGCACACGAGTTCACGCTTCTCCCAGCCACTCGAGTATGTCGTTATAGTTGACATCAGCAATGGAAGCCGAATAGTCGAACTGGAACCGCTTGGACCCTATCGCACGCCTCATCAGCATAACGCGGTAATACGCCTTCAGCACGTCACCCACTTGTCAGAATATTATCTTATGTTCTAGCCTGTAGTGGGGTGCTCTATAGCGAGTACAACCCTTCTAGGGTTTGCTATTTGTATCCTCATTCTTGCTAGTTCAACCCTCTTTTTCTTCCTTCTAATTTTGTCACCACTCCCTGCAGGTGCGGCAAGCCCGTCTCTGGAACCGATCCACGAATGTTGACGACTCGGGTGTTCGTGAGGTGCTGCACACTGAAGCCGTGCTCCGTGACGGGCCGCGCCACCTTGCCTGTGATGCGATGCGCCTTGTGAATGGTGAGGATGATGGTGTTGCGATCACGGCTGAAGTGCACACCGTTTACGATCTCCACAAACTCTGTGAATACGTGTGTGCAGTGAATCAAACATAGCGAGCACGTCACCAACGGCCATTGCGGTACGCAAATACATCGGAGATGGACGCGCTCCTGATGTACTCACACGTGCTATGCACGTCCAACCATAAAACTGCACACAAAGTCCACAATCCATACCTCCGGCGTCAACCGCCCGCGGTTCGTATACCGAACGGCCACCTTGCGCAATGCGGCGCTCGCCCGCCGGCGCTCGGGCCTATTGGATGGCTCTAGCACCACCACAGGCACTGCGGAACAACCCCCCGTCGCGTTGTAGAGGATGCCGACGCTGACGATACGCTCCACCACATTGCGCTTATCCGGAATGTACGACTTCGGCAGCCGGCTGGGAAGAAAATTAATCTCGTGGAAGCAGAACACGTCATCCGGATGTGCGGTAGCAAGCAGGGCCTTCAGGTCACCCATTGTAACACACTGTCACTCTGGTATGCAAGTATGCATTGAAGTGCACACGACCTCCTCCTACATACGTTTCAGTTGACCGTAACGTACCCCCGGCTTGCCCCTGCACGCACACTGTGTACAGCAGTTGAAATTGGCCACACAACCAACCGACCACATTCCCTGCGCCGCACAGAGATAACGCTCTCCTATGATACGACCACCTGTAACGCCCACATAGGACATCCCGCCCCCACGACGCCACGTACGCGTCACCCATATCCAAACAACCAACTGCCTGAGACCCCGAGTGTGCACCACCACACATTGTGGTTGTGCAACCCCGATCGCGCAAGGAATAAGGGTACCCGTACGCGTTATACGATTCATAACTTAACCACCATACTGCACACCTATACCTGATTGAACGTCTTATCTTCTTAGCACGAGTGTATAATAACATCACCGCTGGATAACACAAGTTCCATCCAACCGCGCCTCTACACATAAACAATGCACTACGCAGTGATTTATGGTTTAAAATTCCGAGCTGCAACCACTGTCTGTAAACGCATTGCGTCACTCGCATAGTAGAAACCTATTTACTAGCTGCACCTTTTTGTTGCTGTACGAAGGGCACACGTGCACCACTCTGCAGGCTTTTCAGCTCCACCACCGAGAACCTCACATCCTCCACTGTCTTGTGCAGCTGCATACATCCCGTGAGGTTGCAGCTCCCAGCCTTCTTATAGTACCTCACATATGCGTACCCCTTCCAATCCCCATCACGGTCAACCGCCCTGAAAATGCACAGACATTTTGCATACCAGTCCCCACCCTTGTCATTGAGCAGCGCCACGTCCGAATACCACCTCTCTCGGGGCGACGCCTTCACAAATGTCCCTTTGGCCACCAGCTCGCCGCCTCTTGTGCGCGGAATGGCCACCGCCGTGTGGACCTGTCACCCCATCCCCACCAAACCAACAACACGTGCACATCATGAGTGCGGTGAGCACCATCATGTAAGACTACAAACGTCACATGTCCGCCACTTTGTAATCACTTCACCTGCACGCTGTTGGTAGCCAGACCCAACGCCTTAAACTCGTCAGCCAAACCCTTCATATCGTCTCCTAGCGCGGTTATGTACTCATCGTACACTGGATCCGACGCTCCGCCAATCCGCATTGTCCGATACTTCTTCGTGAGCACCGGTTTCTTCGTCAAGATTGCCTGCACGTACCACACGCATTCGTACAACGAACCACACGGTGTTTGAATCACGCCTCCACCCCGGTATACGGTGTACTCTGTACTACCAACACTGGGCATCATCGTCGCCTAGACCCCCTAACACACCTCACGCAAGGCGCACGCGTACTGTCGCCCACCCCCAGCGTCCGCCGCCACCTTGCGGTACACCTCACGCTGCACCTCCTCCTCCAGGATTTGTCGAGGTATGTCGCTCCAACTGCTCCCTCTTACTGGACCCTTCACCGTGCCCTTGTGCGTGCGCTCCCACATTTCGGTTGAATAGTGGTGCGGCATCCCACGCTCCTTCACGTTGTCCAGCAAATGTCTTATCATGTGTATCTTTGGGAGCTTCCAGTGGGATGCCTGCGATGGGAATGCCTTCGGTAGCAACGCCACCAACCAGCACCGGCACCCCCGACAAGGCATAATACTGGATGCATCACCGTATTTGGCGACCTCAAAATAGCTGTGCAATCTTGAGGCATAGCCTCCCATAAATCTTGTTGACCCAACGGCAAGGGGTATACAAGTACTCACGCTATCGCATGCTGCCGGGCAATCGCAATTGTCGTGTGTGTGTGCCTGTCAACCCCCAGAAACGCCTTGTAGAACACGGCATACAGCCGGAACGCCTTGACCTGCAAAGCACGCAGCTCTCCCTCCGGTCCATCCTTCAATGCACTCTCGTCTGCCACCAGTATCGGCATTATCTGCATCATGCTCCTGTGCTCGAAAGCCGCGTAGTTTGCGCCAGAACTGAAGAACGATGATCCCCCAGGGATACGGAGGAGAACGCTTGGAATGAAATGCTTGAACTCCTTCTTGCGGCTGCACACATACATAGTACGATGTCGTCATCCACTGACACACATGGGGGCCTAGACCCCACCTAAATCCCTGCGGAATATAGTTGGCTACCGCTCTCACATCCGACTAGACCTAACTCACCTTTCTAGCAGCCGCATCTCAACCTTTCCAAGGGGTTCGATGTAGGAGTCCATCATGTGGATCAGCACATCGGAGTCCAGCACGTGCAGTGTGTCTGCAAGGCATGCCAGGTACACGTTTCCCCACTGTGTCGGCGAAATTCCACCTTTGAAGCACGCACTGCAACCATCCCACAGACGACACAGTGTTGTCAAACAGTCCACATGATATCCAGCCCCCAAACATTACGCACCACCAAACCGCGCACCAGCAAACACACCTCGATCGGATGGGTTGACCATAACTTCCGCACATCGTCTGCCTCGCCCTTCTTCTTGCACGCCAAGATTTGACGAACAATGTCCCTCTGCTGATCGGGGGTCCGTGGATCACACTTCCCCACCATCATGGTCAACTCCCCCTTCACAGCATAGCAGTTAGCGCATGGCCGATGCGATCCTTGCTGCAGAGTTGCGGAGGCTCTGCTGGATTCCGGGAAGTCGGCAGGGTATCCGTACAGGCAAGGGACCGCCTTATGGAGCTTCCCGTCCGCGTCTGTGCAGTAGAAGAAGCGTACTGGCGCGCTGCATAGTGCCGCAATGCACACATAGTGTTCACTTAGTGATGGCTCGTATGCATATCTCCCAAAAGGGTGGCTACTAACTGGGGTGGTCCCCCTTCCCCACCCGTGTATCGTTATCATCCCCACCCCAATCCCCTCCCAGTACCTGGCGGACTCTCGCATGATGGGCGCGAGTATTATCTTCAGCGCCTCCTGGAACACGCGCGTCTTCTCCGTGGGCGACGCCCATTCAAGCGGGAATGGAAGCACCGCCGCCAATGTGTGCCCGGGCTACACTCCTCGCATTTCTTCGGGTATGTTGACAAGTGATATCAGCACAGGCCACGCATTCCTTCGTCCATTCCGTGATGCCTGCGTGCTATCGCTGTATATCAGCATGCCTAGTACGAGTGCCTGGTCGTCATTAATCTCCTTCTGCCATGTAGAGCGCACGGGCCGGTGAGCGTTGTGACACCTCGTGCAGGTACCAGTATGCACAGCATATGACAACTGAACAACAAACATGTGCGTACCTGAGCAGAGTGCATCCAATCACCTGTCTCCGGTCCTTCAAATACCCTCTCGTTGTTCTTCTTCCGATATATCTTCCTCGGCTTCCATACGAACCCCTTTTTGGATGAGAACGTCCGCACCAGCTTTTTCAAGATCTGTGTGCGTAGCGCAAAAACGTGGGTGAGAACATGATGCGGGCCAACTTCATCTACACGTCACCTCGACATCGCCTCCAGGTTGGCCTCCCATCACGTACCAACTCGGTGTCGCGGAAGTGCAGTAGCAGCTTCATTTGCAGTCCTTTGGGACCCTGTTGAACAAGAATGAATTGAACTAAGAGTGAAAATGAGTACAAGTATCAAAACCTAGGAATGTGTACCCCCAATAGGCTAACCCACTGTAGCCTAAACAACTACAACAACATATATAATGTTTGACACACCCCCATAGGCGAAGTGGGGGAGAACTAGGGGTTACAAGACCAGTCAAGTAAAGCAAAACAAAGCAAGCTCAGGGTGGATCACAACGTCACCACACAATCCGAGCACAAGTGCAAGGCCACAAGGCCAGTTCACATGCAGGAGTACAGATATATATATAAGACTAAACAAGCAAGAGCAGTGATATATATATGTAACAGTACAAAGAGGGTCAAGAGGAGAGCAAGTGAGGCAAGACAGACACAAGACCCAGCTGGGTACAGCAGCGCTGATGATCACAAGGCGGAAGTGCCTTGGTGAAGACATCAGCAGTGTTGGCCTCAGAGGCCACGTACGCAAGTCGCAACTGACCACGCTGCTGTAGCTCACGAGCAAGGAAGTAGCGGAGAGCAATGTGCTTTGTTCGGAGCTCCATTCTCTGCTCCCGACACAAGGCCAGCATGGCCTTGTTGTCGACGTACAGGACTGGAGGAGAACGAGGCGGCTCTCCAAGGTCGGTCAGCAGGTAGGTGAGCCAGCGAAGCTCCTGAGCAGCCATGGCCCCTGCGTAGATCTCAGCCTCACAACTGGAGCCAAGAACAGAAGACGAGCGAGTAGCCCGCCACGAAACAGAGCCGGAACCAAGGCTGAAGGTGTAACCCTGTGACGACCGCTGCGTAGCCTGGTCGTCAGCCCAAGAAGCGTCTGCGTGTCCAGTGAGGACCACTGGACTCCGCCCTCCAAGCACTAGCCCCATGCCCGACGTACTGCACAAGTAGCGCAACACCCTCTTCGCTGCAGCCATGTGCTCTCGTCGGTGTCTCCCAAGAGCAACATAGCGTGCAAGAATGCTAAGAGGGTATGCAAGGTCAGGTCGTGTGCAGGTCATCAGGTACATGAGACAGCCAACAAGCTCTGGGTACGGGCCACTTGACTCTACGTACTCATCCGAAGGCAGAGCTGAGAGCGAGTGGCGAGTAGACAGAGGAGTGGCCTGAGGCGAGGAGTACGTGAAGCCGAAGCGCTGAAGGACCTGCTGCACCATGTGTGACTGAGTCAGGGTAATGGTGCGGCGTGCTCTGTCCCGGGTGATCTGCAAGCCAAGGTAGCTGCGCAGTTCACCCAGGTCTGTGCACGTGTGTCTCTTCTGCAGCTCGGACTTCACGTAGGCGAGTCCAGTAGTGTCAGCTGTGGCAAAGACCAAGTCGTCGACGTACACGAGGATGTAGAACGGCGGCAGAGAGGTGTCGGTGCGCAGAAACAGCGACGGGTCGGCAGTAGACGGAGCGAACCCAAGAGCCGCAAGCGTAGTCCTCAGTGTGTCGTGCCACTCACGTGGCGCCTGGCGGAGACCATAGACTAGACGCCGGAGACTCCACTGGGTACCATGAGGGAAAGACCCAGTGAAGCCAGGTGGGCGGCGCAGCCAGATCTCCTCGTCCAGGTTGCCCTGCAGGAAAGCTGTGCTGAAGTCGAGAGAGTGCAGCTCGTAGTCCCGGTGAGCAGCAACGTGCAGCAGTACCTGAAGAGTGGTCATCTTCGGGGTGGGGGAGAAGGTCTGAAAGTAGTCAACTCCCTGTCGCTGACTGAAGCCACGAGCCATGTAACGCGCCTTGAAGACAGGCGGAGAACCCGGCGGCCGCTTCCCCCTGAAGATCCACATGCCACTAACGATGTTCGCCCCAGGAGGGGGGACAGCGTCAACGTAGGTGCCTGTGGACTTCCAGGAAGCCATCTCTGTATCCATAGCTGCCTGCCACTGAGAGGAGTAGGGACCCTCTATCGCCTCCGCGTAAGAGCGCGGAGTCGGGATGTCAAGTGCATCCGGGTCTCCCTCAGGGGTAAGCAGTACGGACACGAGATGAGGTGAAGCAGCTGCTAGACACTGGAACTCCTCCTGCCTGTCCTCAAGGACGTCCGTGCCAAGGGCACACTCACCCCCGACGGACGAAGGACAGACAGACTCAGACTCAGCGACAAGTCTAGCAGCGTAGTCTAAGCGACAGCGAGCAGCAAAGTCGACGAGCTCAGTAACGAGAGCAGACGCAACAGTAGACTCGAAAGAAGGGTCAGTGACAACAGTAGCAAGGAGACGCGTGACAGAAGGACTGGCAGCACGAAGAGAGTCCGACTCAGGGTCGGCGAGAGCAGGAAGAGAGGACGCAGGAGGAGATGGCAAAGGGGCACGCAGAGGAGCAGTAGACGGACGTAGAGACATCCGGTGCGTGCCAAGGGCAGGAGGAGGACGCTGGCGCGAACTACGAGCACTAGCTCTAGCAGGACGGACAGGCAACGCAGGACGAGACGCAGACTCACGACGCTCAGTAAGACCGCCAGTAGGACCAGTGTAAGGAGAAGGAGCAGGTAGTGGGGAGGCCGGCTGCAACTGTAACTGTGACGGGACAGGCTGTGAACACGCTAAGGGAGGAGGACCAGCAGGAGGCGAGAGACCAAGAACCTGCCGAAGGAGCGGAACGAAGTACGGCTGAGGGCGCGCGGCGACTCCAGACACAGCAGGGACAGCACCTGTACCCCCAGCGGCAGTACCAGAACCAGCAGCAACTCCAACGCCCAGGTCCTCAGTACTAGCCTCAGCACCAACGCCCGAGTCCTCAGCACCAGCAATGGCTCCAACACCAGAGTCCAGAGCACCTGCCGCAGCTCCAACGCCCGGGTCCTCAGCACCAGCAGGGAATCCGACACCAGGGTCCTCAGCACCAGTCGCAGCTCCAACGCCAGGGTCCGCAGCACCAGCCGCAGCCCCAACGCCCGGGTCCTCAGCACCAGTAGCACCTCCAACCCTCGGGTCTGCAGCACCAGCAGCAGCTCCAACGCCAGGGTCCGCAGCACCAGCAGCAGCTCCAACGCCCGGGTCCGTAGCACCAGGGGCAGCCGGGTCCGTGAGACGAGGCGCACCACTCCGAAGTGTGCAACGGCGCTCGTACCATTCACGGATCCGCTCACGAGAGGGGAGCTCCCGACTAGGAGGAGAAGTACGAGCCCCAGTCCCTGTAGTGCGCCTGGTCCCAGAGGTAACACTCCGGAGGCTGCAGTACTGTAAGTACCACTCACGCAACTGCTCCGAGGAGAGGTCGCGTCCAGGTGTAGCACCCTCAGGCCCAGCACCGCAAGCCTCAGCACCCCCAGTCACCGCACCCCCAGGCTCAGCACCCCCAGGCTCAGTACCCCCAGTGTCCGCACCCACAGGCTCAGCACCCCCAGAGTCCGCACCCCCAGGCTCAGCACCCCCAGAGTCAGCACCCCCAGGCTCAGCACCCCCAGTCTCCGCACCCCCAGGCTCAGCACCCCCAGCAGGACGAGAGTCGACAGCAACCTCAACAGGCTCGACCGGGTCTAGCTGAGACACACCTGAGGGAGCGGCACCGTGAGGGGGGAGGGGGTCTACGACAGCAGCACCTGGCGCGAGGAAGAGAGGCGGGGGTGGGAGCGGGGCAGTGCGGTAGGGAAAGAGGCGGTAGTAGGGGACAGACTCGTCAAAAGTGACGTCTTGAGAGGGCAAGACCCGGCACGAGGTGGCGTGGTAAAACTGCCAACCAGGCGCGTTCGGAACAAAGCCAAGGAAGACGCAGGGAACAGCACGAGAGGAGAGCTTGTCCGCAGACGAATCGCGGACAAAAGCTCGAGATCCCCAGACCCGGAAACGTGACGCATCGCCAACCTCCCCCGTCCACAGCAGTGTGGGCGAGGTCTCCGGCAAGGAGACACGGGGCCAGAGGTTGAGCTGATGCGCAGCGTACCGGACCGCAAACGGCCACAGAAAATGGGGGGCAGCCGCATGGATCAAGGAGGTACGAGCGACC